ATGAAGAACTGGAGACATTCCTTCGGTTTTTGATTGGTGTGGCCCCTCGGAGGTCGTCTGTGGACACGCCAGTGACCTGTTGGCGCCATCTTTGGGGGAGCCTCGTGCGAGGAGCCTGGGGGCCTGTTGGGACCGTCTTGGGGCCATCTTGGAACTTCTGTGCTGCGGGTCTGGTCCCCTGGGGCGGGATTCCCGGTATACAGAACATATGTTGCTTGTGCTTTTTGCGAAGTAAAGCCGCAGCCTCCCAGCGTGTCGAGGCCAACATGCGTCGGCATGTTGCTCCCAGCCCTGGTGTTTCTGGCCTCCCGCCTGTATCCCTCCCAGGCCCATCTCCAGACGCCACTAACCTGCGCGGCAGTGTCGCCGGATGAGAAATCAGTCGCTGCGCCCCCCTGGCTGAGTTTGCTGCACTTCTGGTGACCAAGCAGGCTGGTCGACGCTGGCGCGATCCCGCATGCCAAGGTCGTGGTCGGCGCTCACCGCGTGCACGAACGGCCAGACGAGCTCCCTCCCGGCTTTCCCCCTGGTCCTGGGGAGGCCTCGCCCAGCCCCGCAGGTGCAGGACTACCGCTGCGCAAAGATGGAGGTAGCTTGCGCTCCTCCTCCTCCTCCTCCTCCTCCTCCTCCTGCTCGTCCTCCTCCGCCCCCCCATCCGTTCCCCCCCTTCCTTCGACCTCCGCCCTCTTGCCTCCTGCCTCTTTTTTCCTCAGCATACGCCCACCTCCCTGCTCAACACCTCCGCCCTCCCTCCTCCGACCCTCCATCTGCATCCCTGCTCCTGATGAATAACCCCACCCTGTCGCATCCCCAACTGCGTCGCAAGGGCGGGCCGTGCGTCCCCCAGACTACCATTTTCCCGCGCTCTGCGAAAGCGTCGGGGTCTCCACCTCCAGCGATTTCCCCACGATGTCCGAGCCTTGCGCCCCGCATGCTGGCGGGGGCAGGGCCTACGGGCCCGTGGGGCGGCCTGGCGCGCGCTCAGAGAGCCCCTCGGACCCCTGGCTCCACACCGACAAGTTCGCGCGCATATCTGCGCACTCTGAGTGCGCCAGCGCCGACGGCGCATGCTCAGCTGCGGCAGTCCACATAGACGCACATGTCCGCAGCGAAGTCAGACGCAACGAAGGCTGTCGCCCCAGGGGGTGCGCAGATTATGGTCGTCGCGGACGCTGATGCAACCGACTAGCCTTCTCGTGGGTTGGTTTGGCCAGTAGGGCGTGTCCTTCGACGCGCAGCAAAGGAGCAGCGCCGCGGGATCCGAGAACACTGGCTGGTCCAGCGGCGCCAGGGCATGGGCATCAAGGACCTCTCTCAGTGGCTTACAAAGCCGTGCTGGTGATGCCGTCGGTGGTGGCGTGATTGGCGATTGCTCAGAATTCTCAGCGGCTGGCAATGCAGCTGTTCCAAGGGCAATTCGTTCACCCGCCTCCAAAACCTGTGGACACTCCTCCCAGGCTCAGTCCTCCCGGGCAGCAGTTCTGAGGGCGTGGGCGTGCTAGGTCCTTCTGCAAGTCTCCTGGGCCAGTCGCATCTTCTTGCATGAGAGCGCCGCGCCCGCTCCCACGACCCCCCACGAACTCCCAGGTTGACGTACTTCTGCGCTGCTGTCCAAGAAGCCTTGTCCGAAGGGCACGCGCCGCGAATCAGCTGGCCGTCATGTGGCGATGGGCGTCGGGCCGATACAAGGCCCGGTACCGCGAACTGACCCAGTTTGTCGCTCTGTGGCTCACTTCCGAGATGGGCGCCACAGCATTGGCATAGCGCTCCACAATATCCGCATTGGGTATCTCTGTGCTGGTGGCCTCCTTGGATCAGGAGCTCGTCTGCGCGAATGGGATGGGATCGCTCAGGCATGCAATGCGACTCATGGACCACAAGCGTGTCCACGTGCTTGGAGAATTTCGCAGATCGTCGGTCTCGTCTGGCGGCATCATGGGCACATCCTCACGGGGTTCACCGTCGACAGAGGCGGCGGCGCTCTTCTCCCGCGATGCTGAGCCACACCCTCCGTGCACCATTGCTCATCCAGACCATGGGGCGGTCGCAGAAGGCAGTTCGGCTCAAGCTTTTTTTCGCGCGGCTCGCAGGCAAAGACGCGGCGAGCACCTGCAATGTCAGGTTGATGGCCAGGTCGTCTTAGACCTCGCACATCGGCCATTATGCTTGCGAGAGCATCGCCTGGCACCACACCAGTCGAGCCAATTAGCTCGATTCTGGATTTCCGGATTTCCTGCTGGCCAAAGATCGGCAGAATAACCCAACGGGAGGGTCGCGATCCAGGGAAGTCTGGGCATGCGCCTCACAATCATCAGCACTCATGAATCGCTGAAACATATCTTGTGCAGGTTGAGGACGCCTCCGCGGGAGGCCTACCTGTTCTGGTAGGGCAGAAAGTGGCGAAGACTCGTGCCATATTGCCGCCTCCAGCGCATACCGACCGAGTGCTACATGGACGAATGATTGCTGAGGGACATGCAACGCTACAACCTTCACAGGAGGTAGGCCGAGTGCTAGAAAGACAAGTGGTTACGGCGGTTCAGCGTGCGTCAATCCACGATGCTCGAAGTGGCACGTGCGATGCATGCTTGTCGAGCCACCGTGCTCCGTCACAAGAGACACGGTCCTCGAGAACTTCAGAGATGCACCTCTGACCAACCTGCTGTCCGTATGGGTCCCCTGGACGTGGGTACGGGCTATCTCATTGGGCTACGCATCCTCTGTGGGTCCCCACGTGCATCTTCCTGCTCTTGCGTGACCTGGCCACCGACCTGCTCATGAATGTCAGGATCCTCTCCCTGGACTCCAATTGCTTCGGTTGCTGCACGACCTGCACGCCCTGCATCTGCCTCGTGCCTACTGCGTCTGCCACAGCTTTTGCTTGTGAAGACCCATTTGGAGACAAGCTTCTTCCAGAACTTCAACAGCTGTCGCACCCAGGAGGGACATAAGAAACGTGATTGGGAGAAGGAAGAGGTGTTGGCCCAAGGACCGTCCCGCCCCTGCCACGGCCTCGCGAGCCACCCCAGCCCGCCGGTCGAGATGCTGCAAGGCCGCGGTCACTTCGGCCACGTTCCGGTGGAGGTCGTCTGCGTGGCAGCGATCCACCTGGCCGCGGCCGCCGACGCTGGCGCTCCAGGGCGACTGGGAGGGGCCAACGCACGGCGCAAGCAAATCCTGAAATCCACTGGAGACCCAAACTTCCCAGAACTGGCGGACTGGCGAATTTTTGGCAGAAGCTTCCAGCGCCTGACTGCCCAGTAGGCGCCGAATGTGTGTAAGTTCTGATGAGCTGACCCAAGTACTATAATGAAGACCTGATTCGCGTCAGAAGCCTGTGCCAAAATCAAAGCATCTTGGGCTCAGTGGCCAAGCCAGGTTTCCACGCGCAGCCCAGTGCATGTGCAGAAGGGGTAGGAGCTCGGTCGGCTTACTGGAAGCTGCTGGGGAAGGCTGGGCCGAAAGCGAAGGCGTGAAGTGTGAAGGCTCCTGGTGCATCATCGGTGGAGTGCGGTGCGGCGGGAACGGTGCGGGGGAGGAGGAGGAGGAGGAGGAGGAGGAGGAGGAGGATGAGGAGGATGAGGAGGATGAGGGAGGATGAGGAGGATGAGGAGGATGAGGAGGATGAGGAGAGGAGGAGGAGGAGGAGGAGGAGGAGGAGGAGGAGGAGGAGGAGGGAGGAGGAGGGAGGAGGAGGGAGGGGTCGGCGGAGTGCGGCGGGTGCGGTGCCCGCTCCTCTCGGGAACGGTGCGGCGGGCATCGTCGGCGGAGCGCGGGCACACCCAAGGCGGGCGTCGAGCCACCGCCTGCGGCCCCTCGGCCCCCGCCTCCCCCCCTTCCCCTCCTCCGCGGCCCTCCTCCGCCCCGCCCTCTTCGGGGGGGAGTGCAGGCCGAGCGCGAGGTCAGGGGACCAAACGCGCTCACATGCTCCCGCGGAAGATCTCGTGCGGGCCTTCCTCGGCTGCGCGCGCGGTTCGCCGCCTTGGGGTGGTGATGACGGTGGTGGTGGTGGCGGTGGTGGTGTGCATGGTGATGCTGATTGGAAGCAGGAGCACGATAAGAGAAACAAGGCTCTGCCGCAGAGGCGTGATCCACCAGCCAGTCCCGTCTCCTGTCTGCTGCCTACGGCAACGCCCGTGGCACCAAAACTGCAACTTCGGGTGGTGCTCAGATCCCCGTGGCCGCCAGAAGTTGCCCCCAAACTCCCAAGAAGGCTCCAAGACCCCAAGATGGCCCCCAAATGCCCCCATCTGCCCAGAAATTTCACCAAGAGGGCCCCACGAGGCGCACGAATGCTCAACAGCTTCAAACTGTCAGTCATCCTTCATGTCAACCGACTACTTCGCCCAACATAACACCCTAAGATGATTTCCAAACGGCCACTTGTATGTCCTCGTAATTCCTATCTACCGCAAAATGGCCACGTAGGTTGTAACACGCCCATCAAAACCGTCCAGCAACACCCGAATACTGTTCCAATACTCCCCAAACAATTCCAACATGACAACAACAGACTGCAACCTATTTTCGATATTACCCACTATGGCCTTGTAGTGAACACAAGATGCCGGGACACGTCCCCAAGAAACTACACTATTGCCCAACAATGTGCCTCGACCCGTCCCACGGTGGCTCAGCCTGGGGGCCCGCGGCCAGCGGAAGAGGTAGTTGCCCTTGACACAAAGAAGCTCTGCACCAAACACGGCAATTACACCCTCGATGTCTGTGTAAGAGCATGTTTTTTTTTTTTTTTGTGTGTGTGTGTTTTTGTTCACGATACGGTTGGCGTTGCAAAGATGGTGTGCAACAGCGATCTCCGAACATGGGGGGCGCGCAGACATTGATTAGCAATCCGTGTATTTGGCGCGCGGTCGCCAAATCCATGGATCGGGGGAGGTGCCCTCCCCAGAATGCGGCCGGTGCCGCCTCGCTCGGCGGCGGACATGGGCGATGTCCCAAGGAGACGGGACCCGTCGCTCATCCACGCCCCCTTGATCCATGTCTGCGATCGCCTGGAAGTGCGGTTGGCGCTGCAAAGATAGCGTGCAACGTCGATCGCCGAAGAGCCCGCTGCCCCTGTGCTGCGATCCCCCCGCGATGGCGGTGGCCCCTTCCGCGCACGCTGTCCCCCTGCGACGGCCTCGCCGGTGCACGCTGCCCCCCTGCCAAAGGCTTCCTCGGAGGGGCAACGATGGGGGGGGGGATAGGCATCGGGGGGGATGCATCGACCTGGAATCGGCGATGCATCTGGGCGGCGCGCACAAGGGGGTGGAGGGAGGGAGAAGGGCTTCTTAGAAGGAGGCTGCTTCTTAGAAGGCACAGGCCTTACATCTATAGATAAAACCCGCGCCTTCGAAGAAGCAGGGGTGCTTCTACTTCTAAGAAACCCTCCCCCCTTCCCCCACCCCCCTTCTGCGCTTGGCTGAACATCGCCGACAGATCGGCGATAGGCCCCCGATAGCGAATCCGCACCTTCCTGGGCGGGGTAGGGCTATCGGGCCCCCATCGGCGATCAATGGACGATTGGGGGTCGATGCATACATCCCCCTGTGCCTATCCCCCCCTATCGTTGCCCCTGATCCTCGGTGCACGCTACCCCCTGGGTGGGGGATAGCGTGTATTCAGCGTGCTGGCGCCCCCACATCGCACGGCTATCTTTGCAAGCCCAGCCGCAAATGGGGACGGCCAGTGTGGCCGTCGGCACGCGCAGGGTCCGCGATCGCAGAGAAGGATCCTGAGGACAACAAGGCGGCAACGGCGGGGCGGGGAAACACAGGATCGATGGAGGGTCGCTCGGCACTGACATGGGGTTATGTTGCTCCTATCGTCCTTAAGGACCCCATCCCAGAAATAATTTTGAGCACCCAAGAAAGTCTCGAAACAATGCCGCAAGAGTATCGCATCTCAAGGCCCGACACGTGAATACCCTCAAGTTTCGGTACTTTCTTGGTGCTCGAAATTCTTTCTGGTGATCAAAGCTAAAATACGTTGGAAGATCATAAACGTAAGGCTGGATAAGGGGGGCTATTCTGACGCATGCGGCACAGGGCGCGGCAAGCGTGCTGGCAGGCCCTCGCCGCCCTCCTGTCCCTCCTCCCCCCCACCAGTAGGCGAAACCACCCATGCATCCCAGCAGTTCGCCAGCCAAGGGGATGACAGTGTGTGCGCGCCCAAATGCAACACGTAGCTTGCATAGCCACGGCGTCGGCGACGGCGGCGGCCTCGGAAGACGGGGGTCGCGTGGGGTGACCTGGGAGGGGAACAATGGGAACGAGGCGGGGAAGGGCAAGAGGAGGAGGAGGAGAAGGAGGAGGAGGAGGAGTAGGAGGAGGAAGAGGAGCAGAACGGGGACGAGGAGGAGGACGAGGACGAGGAGTAGGCGGGGTAGAGGGGGAGGATGAGGCGAAAGAGGAAGAGGCTGCCCCCGTTTACCGATGACTGACTGCGCGGCACGCTTCAAAAGGTGAGCCCCAACGCATTGCCGCGCAGAGGCGCCTTCGTGAGCACCACCATGAGCTTGCGGCCCGCGCCCTGCACGGTCTCCCAGATGCGCGTGTCCTGTCTTCTCTTCTAGTCTCTGCTGGCATTGCTTCTTTGCAGGACGGCGCGCGCACTGCACTGATGACTACCATGCAACGATCATGGCACAATCCACGTCGGCTGACAAGAAGCCAGAAGGCAGAACCAAGAACGCCTGCACGCGTGCAACCTTCCTCACCCTCAGTAGTTCGTGGTCTTGTCGACTACCCCAAATGAAGGACGCCCGTAGGTCAGATGGGTGTAATTAAAGCGGGGGCGGTGGGAACAGTGGAGGGCAGCAGGACAAGGACATGTGCAATGCAAATGCGATGCCAGTAGGAGTGAGGTTAGCAAAGGGAGCGCCACATATGGGAAAGTATGGGAAACCATTCTTGGCGAACGAATATCATAACCGCTCGACGTAGCAGGTACAACAATCGGCGGCGCTGGAAGAGCCTCACATGAACTGCGATGCAACACAACAAACTTGACTGCGGTGCCCCGACTCGCCGCCACTGGCGTCGGAACCCTGCGCTCCATCAACAATCATGCCGCCCATTTTCCCATCTTTCCAGACGAGGCGTCAGAACCTACCCAACGACGCTTGCGCATTCCGAGTGCACTACGAGGCATGAGCTCGTTACCAGCGTGAAGGGGTCAAAATCTGCAGCAAGTCCTGAGACACTTGGCAGAATAACCAGCGCAGAGACATGACGGAGCACGCGCTAGCATTAGTGCACCGATCAAAGGAAGAGGCCTGCGAGGGAAGGGGAAGAGGAACGGAGAGAGAAAGATGTTGGGTAAACGACTGGCGTGGACGCCTCCCTCCGCCGACCTCCTCGTCCCCCCCTCTTCCTCCTCGTCCTCGTCCTCCGCCCTCTTCTCACCCTCCTCGCCCGAGAAAGGCCTTTTCGCGTAAACCGCCCTCTGTCCAGTCGGCTGCCATGCCGCAAGCAAGGCCACGATGTGTCAAACGGGGAGGCACACCCACCGCTCCGAATCTCTCCTCGAACTTCCTTCCCCTCCTCATCCTGTCATCGCTCGGCGTCAAAATACATATACATATATACAAGACTGCGTTGGCACTTCGCGCCACGAACCTTGGTCCTTCAAGCTTCGCATCTGATGGCACTTGGCATCATCCTCTTTGGATTTGAGATTTGGCCGTTTCCTGTCAAGTCCCCTTGCTCGTTCCTGATTTGCCCTCGCCATCGATTTACATGTTCGCGCGCCACACGCATTTTTCTTGGGGTGTTTTTTGATTCGAATTTCGAGACGGGCCCGATGACGTGGCGACGAGAACGCCACCTGGAAACTCCCCAAACACATGTTGAACCAACGTCGCGTGCCTTCTTCGTTGGATCCTGCGCCGCCAACTGTCGTAACGGCCTGCGCGTAGATCTTTGACACCGCTTGGATCGTTCAACCGTCGTGTGGCCCATATACTGGCCCGCTCGTGGCCCAGGCTGTCCAGGTGCCACATGCGAAGCAATTGTAAGCTATGCGAAAGAATGCCACAAAGCAACTCACTGCCAAGCACCGCAACATAACACTCAACAATGCAATGTCAAATAATGTCGCCTTGGCTTTGGAAATACGCCGAAACCCGTGTTCGCCACGGACTTCTGGAGCATTCTGTTGCAAACCCGCGTTTCGGGTCAGTCTGGCGTATTTCGTAGGAAGACGCCTTCTGGAAGACACACGACCATGCAACGACATGACGTTCGGGGTCCTTCGCGTGGCCACCACACGGGCTCCCTCGTGGCCCAAGTTGCCCGGTCGCGCAATGCAAGGCATTTGAAAGCAACGCCTTATCGTTCCACATCGTTCCTCTCATTCATCTTCGCTCTCGCCTGGCGTTGCTAACCATCCCCCGTCTGCCTCAGTTTCTTTTGCGGAGGCTCCTCGTTGGAGGACCTCTTGGGGGCTTCACGAACGCCTCTCAAGGGCTTTGGGAACCTCTGGAGGCCTCCTGGCCGCCTTTCTGAGCCGTCTTGGGGATCCTTTTGAGGCCCGTTTAGGCCGTCTTGGGTCCCTTTTGGGCCGTGCTTGGGCCTTCTTGGGGAATTTGGACCCTTTACGGGCTCTCTGGGGGCCATCTTGGGCCCTCCTTGGGGATCTGCCGTGGCCCTCGTGGGTCTCTCGTGGGCGCCTTTGGGGGCCTCGTGAGCTTCATTTGGGCTGTCTTGGGGCAGTCTTGGGGCCCTCTTGAGCTGTCTTGACAGCCTCTCGAGGGCCTCTTGGGCCGTCTTTGGGCAATCTCGGAGGCCTCTTGGGCCGTCGTGAGGGCTGCTACGACACACAAAGCGTATATTCTGAAAATGTTGGTTTCCCCAGAAAGGAATGGGACGATCTTTACCTCCTGGGGGCCCTCCTGAAAGCCTGTGGAAGGGTCTTGGGGGCCCCTTGTGCCGTCTTGGGGGTCTCGCAGGCCGTCTTGAGGCCGTCTTGCGCTTTCGTGGGGCTCTCCTGCGCCTCTTCGACCACTTCTCTGAGCGCTTTCGGTCTGCTAGGCACGGCCCTGCTAGGCGCCCTGAGAAGCGCGCCAGGGCTGGGGGACCTCTTCCAAAGGCGTCCTGGGGGCCCCAAAGCCCCGGATCCTGGGGGCCATTTTTTGTTTTTGTTTTGTTCTTCGGGGGGGGCGGAATTTTCCGCCCTCCCAGCTTGTAACAACATAGGAATAGTAATATATTGTGACGGGCACCGCAATTCCCCCAAAGGAGCAATGACATGGCACATCACACGCGCGCTGCCCAACAATCGAGTGCACCTCGTGTGCCTAGGTGGAACAATTTTCTGAACGACGCTGGCACGCCTTGATTCCATATATTGTTCTGTGATAAGAAGATGCCAGTCCTTCTCTGTTAGCGGGCGCATAGGCAAAGACACGCGTGGACGCTACTACGCTGAGGCAGGAGATCCAACGCCGCCTCGTCGTGGAAACGGATGTCGCCCCTGAGCTTAAAAAGCGGGGCGCGTCAGTACTGTCGGTGGCACTCACAAGGACAACGACAACATCTTCCATTAGGCAAGTCGGAAGACGCTTGACCTGAGGACGCTTGGAGCCACGCCGAGGCAACTCGAATTCAATGACGTGCTCTGGATATCACTGCCTGCACATCCGATACTGCCCGCCAGAATCACGCTGTGCAAGCGAGAGAAGCCGCTACTTGAATACCGTCCGCGTCCTGAGTCCTGGATTCGTGCTGGGCCAGCTCGGCTTCAATCGTCGCTCCCTGCAAGGTGCACGAAGGTCTATTACGCTGACATGAACTACGGCAAGGGCACCACTCGCCGCGAAGCTAATTGGGTGGACCAGTGCCGATGGCGTCGACGGTGAGGGCCGCTCTGGGAAAGCCTGGTGTAGAGGAGCAACCCAGACACCGAATAACTTGTCTCATAGACATGCCAGTCGTGCTGTAAACGCCTGGGGTGACGTATGAAATGACTAACTTGTGTAAGCATGGAAAGTCTCTTTCCTCCATTACATTCGTCTCCCGCCTGACCAAATTGACCGTGCGGCTCGTCATCATACATTGCGTCATCCGTGGTCGGCGCTTTAAAGATGGGGCCCTCAGACATGGGGCCCTAGGGCGAGGAGCCTTTGAAACATGCTCATGTGGCCAGGAAGCCCTTTCCTATCCTTAGGGCCCTATCCCTCAGGGCTCCATCTTGGAAACTTCGATATGGGCCAAATGCACACCTCCGAAAGATCATCGCCCCATCTTTCTCGATCGCCAGTGTAGTCAAGGACTGTGGTCACATCGGACCATCTGCGCCTCCGCGCCAGGGTGCGGACGCAACGGTTGAGGTTATGAGGCGTTGCCAGCTACAGACAAATCTTCTAAACAAAGCTGCGCGACGCCTGGCCAACGCTATTGACGCTTAATACCTTGCGAGAAAAGCGAACAATATTAATCCTCTGTGTTTACCGATGGGGTTCGCGATGGCATTGGACAGCAATTTTTCCTCACCGGAAACGCCACTACGTACGGAGCAAGCGCTGGAGACGTCCCGCGCCGTCGCGAGGAACGCGGTCTGGGGCAGGCGATGGGAAGGACCTTGACGCTATCGAGCGGGAATTGGAGGATCGGATCTTGGTCAGCTGTTGAGGCTCGAACGTCGCCAAAGCCTTCGCCGGGAACAGGGGCGCCTCACCGAAGAGATCGAGTGCGCCTGGACCGGTCGCATACACGCGTGAGCCATATCCTTTCCTCGCAGCATCGGCCACCGTGCCGCCAGGAACTGGGTGAAATGTCCTCAGGTCCCTTCGAGTCGTCTGCTTGGAGGATGGTGCGTACTTTATGCGAGGCCCAGGTCCTTGACTCCCAGAGTTACTGGGCACCTCTTAGCGATCTCGGGGCTTGGGTCTTGGCTTTTCCTACGGCCTCGGGAGCGTGACTTGGAATCCGCGCTCCCAATGTTGCCTAAAAGGGCTCCGCAAAGCCACCCTGGAGCCCCGGGCGCCTGCGGCGCCATCTTGAACGCCCTGGCGGCTGGCCCAAGAAGCCCAAGTCATGGAACGCCATGTGCTCTCCTTATACAAATTCGTGACTTTCGGTCTACACAAACCGTCCAAGACGGCCTGAGGGCGCCGAAATCGCACTCAGAAGGTCCCGAGGCCCCCAAGATGGCCCAACCACCGCCCAAGACGGCCCCAAGAGGGGGAATCCCAGCCGACTCTTGAAGTCCTCCTCCCCAAGATGGTCCTTAAGACCGCCCGCAGGCCCCCGAAATGACTAAGACCCTTCCGAGGAACCCCCCACGAGCCACCCACAAGCCCCCCATGAGCCCTCCCAGGAGACCCCAACACCCCTCTGGTCCACGATCCAAAGTCAGCAGCGGGATGGGCCAAGAACCACTGGATCCGCCGCTCCGTTTTGCCAGTGTGCATGCTTGGCTCGCCAAGACTTGCAACACTTTCTGGCCCTTCCAATAGGTCCCAGGTGAATCTCGTTCTATCCAGCGGGCCACCCAGATCACATACAAATTCAAGGCAACTCTCCTCCAAGATGGCCTCCGAGACGGCAGGAGGAGGAGGAGAAGGAGAAGGAGGAGGAAGAGGGGAGGAGAAGGAGGAGGAAGAGGGGAGGAGGAGGAGGAGGAGGAGGAGGAGTAGGAGGAGGAGGAGGAGGAGGAAGAGGAGGAGGCGGAGGAGGAGGAGGAGGAGGAGGAGGAGGAGGAGGAGGAGGAGGAGGAGGAGGAGGGGGAGGAGTCGCCCTCGAGGCCTCCTAGGCTGCCCAAACGGTCCCCGCAAACGCCAGACGGCCCGAGAGCGCCTTGAGCAGGCCCAGAAGAGCTCCAAGATGGCCCGAGAGAGCACCGCGAACGCCCCACATGGTCAGAACAAAACCTTGGCGGCGCGCACAGGGGGGTAGGGAGAGGGGGGAAGGCTTCTTAGAAGGAGGCTGCTTCTTAGAAGGCGCCGGCCTTACATCTACAAGCAAGGCCTGCCGCTTCTATGAAGCAGGGGTGCTTCTAAGAAGCGTTCCCCCCATCCCCCTACCCCCCTCTGCGCTTTGCCGAAAACCGCACGAGAGCCAGGGCTCCTCCCCACCGTCTGTTCCCCCCAATGGTTTCTGCAAGCGCTGGGGCAACCCACCAGTCCACGAGCATGGCCGCACCTTCGCTGGACACCTCATCGCGCAGGCGCTCTTCGGAGGCAAGAGGCGGCTGTGATTCCCCGTAGGCGCCTTCGGTGCAAATCTGTCGACGTGTGCCCAGAGGCGGGGCTCGCGCATGCCACGTGGCATTATGCACTCAGGCAAGACTGGACAGGTGCACGGGTCTCGCTGAACGTGAGGGTGGCATGCAACACACAGAACCCCCAAAACCGATGCTTGCGCCGGCTTGCGCCATGCCCCATGTTCTGACCGCTCCCCACATACGGATGAGGACTGGCAGCTCGCCGAGGCTGGTCTCGTACAAGCGCTGCCCGGCTGAGCTATAGCCAGTCTGCTTATCTTTGGAATGGTTCCTGTTTCAAGCTCGACTGAATGATGGCGTTATTTGGGGAATTCCCGACGCGCAAGTGTCCATGGGGCAAATGCTGAGTCGGCTTGCACGCGTTCGCCGTCCAGTGGCCGCACCGAGAGAGTGGATTCACAGCTGCTGGGGCAGCTCTCCGGAAAAAGGATCAGGCCAAGACCTGCGGGGGAACGAACTGTGCATGCTTCGCCGATCGGGCAGCAAGCGCAACATGCAAGTCAACCACATGTGCCAAGGACTGAGTCCGATCACGACTTTGTTCCCCGCCGGCGTAGAGAAGCCGAAATGACGACGGCCACGACAAACAGCTGATGATCCCGCCAACAGGTCCTTCGCTCTCCGCCTGGCCCGAATCATCTCCAGAACGGATTCGCCTCTGGTTCCTGGGCTGAACTCGACAGCGCCGTCCACATCCGCCAGCAGTGCTGGGCATGTCCTCGAGCCCCTTGGGGTCCTCTTTGTGGAATATTGCCATTGCTATGACATGGGAAGAAATGCCCTGACAATGAAGTCGGTCGAAGGAGATGGTCGGAGGGTTGTGGCCAGCAACCTGGTTGGGATCCGAGCAGCTAGCTAGCTAGCTCTTCCCATTGGAGATCGTACCTTGTGGTGGGGTGGCTCGAACTTGCCTGCATTCCTTGGCGCTTCGGGGTGCCCTTGAATTGTCTTTGGTCAAATGGGTAGAAAACGCCCCTACACTGTTTACGAAGCGCTGTGCGCTGAACCTCCTGTGGGCTGACAGGGTAAACCCTGCGTGATGTGCGGCGTCATTGCGGCTCTCTTGGCTTTGGGGGTTCCCCAGAGGTTTACAGACCCACTTACTTGTAACTCAGGGTAGGGTCGTTTTTATCCCTTGATTTGGAGCCCTCGAGAGCGTGGCTGAAGCCTCGCCCTCCAACGTGCCGCACGATGCTCTCCGCCAGGCCCGCGCCGCCGCTCTCTCTTCGAGGCCTCTTCTGGCCTGTCTTGGAGGCCCGGGGCGGCCCCCCGGCATGCTGGCGCAGTGAGCAGCTTGAGATGTTGGTGTGGTCTTCACGCTTTCATGGGGAAACCAAAAGTAGGGAGCCCACAAAGGACGTACGCGCCCAGCTATGTACATGAACACGGCCCCTCGACCCGCGAGACCGGCCGCGTGACTCGAACATTCGCGCAATGCGAACTCTCGAAACCAGCGTGGATTCATGTACGTGTACGTCCTTCTTTCGCTCCCGAAAAAAGTACCGATACCGCTACTCCCCGGACCTCTCCCGGGGTGCGTTCTGACCAGAATTTCGAGGCGAGTCCAGCGGTGGCGACGATGGCCTCTCAGGAGGGCCCAGAACGAGGAAAACGGGCGAAGGGCAGAGGTACGGGTGCGTTTTTCCTCCTCTGATTTCAGGTTTTCGGCCACGAGGCTTCAGAGATCGCCGCAGGGCGGCCTGCCCGAGCTGACGCACGGAGACCTCCGCCGCGCCAAAGCTGCCCCCGAGACCGCCGGCGGGCCCCCGCAGATCACCTGGGCTCCCCCGGGGGGCTCCGAGGAAGCTTCCCAGGAAGCGGCCTCCAAGAGGCCCCGAGAGGTCCCCCGACGGCCTCCGAGAGGCCCCTGAACGGCCTCCCGAGATACCTCATGAAGCACCTGCGAGGCCTCTGGTCCACGACCCTGGGTATGAGCTGAGCACCACAGCCCACGTCTGGCAACCCGCGTCACTGTAACACCGCCGTCAGCTTGGAAGCTCTGGAAGAACTCTTCTCGGTGCGCAGTCACAAGGGCGGGGCGATGCAGAACCGACTCGCAGTAAAGCTGTAAGGGGCAACCAAAGCCGACTCCACCGCCACCAACGCGACGAGCCAAGGGATATCCTTCGTGACCTTCCGCAGTTCGGCAGCGAACATCAACCGGCTGAGGTCCGTCACAATGCCGCCCAAGCGATTGCCGCGCGGTAGCTGCTATGGCTTTCCGGCCGCTAAATACCGCGCACTGGGTCTTCTTAACGTTCACGTGAAAAGTTCGGATGAATGAAACGCGGCACCAGGGTCGCGAGCGGGCCACCGCCAACGAGGAGGTCCACCGTGCTTGTCTGAGCTGGACATTGGAGATCTCTCGAGCGGGAAACCAACAATCGAGGGGACCACGCCATCAGGGTGGCTGACCTCGCACAGCAAGTGGATGACTTCAGTCGATGGTGCAGGTGGAGGACTTCATTCGATGGAGGGCTTCATTCGAGCACAACCAACCGCGAACAGCAGGTGCGGGTGTCTTCAAAATGAGTCCTGCTATCCAACTCTGACCTCATGCCGCTCTCAATGGCAATTCCGCGGCAAAAGCGGAACGCCGTCTCCAAGCTGCTGGCCGAGGGCTCTACTCCATGGAGGGCTCCTTGAAACTCCCGCTCTGGAGGTGGGTTCGACCCAGAACAATACCACTTGCTCAAAACGCTTCACCAGCTGGAATAAGCGCATGCAATTGTCACATCTACGAAGCTCGCGGTGCCTCTACTCCATTACCTTCGCTCATGTTTCGCTGCGTGGTCGAAGTGCCACAGAAAAAACAACGGATGCACGAGTGCATGGGCGCCTGCCAAAGTGCAAACTGAGCCTCTGACGGCTAGCTTGCACACAGTCAGAACAACTGGCCCGCCGTCTCAACCTACACCAAACTTACGCATCACGTCGGTCCGACCATAGCCATTACCTGCGCGCGACATGCAGCGTTCTTGACGCTGGGAACAGGGGGATGGCACACTGAAGGCAGATCGGTCCAAGCATCTTGTCTGTGAGCGTAATTACGCATTACGGCGGCATTTCGTGGAAACCTGCGAAGTCCTTGATAACGCCCCAGTCCCGAGCCACCTCGTCGAGATCACAAGGGGCCTGTGTGATGAGGAGAACCCCCTGCCCGCGGCCGCTTCCTCCCCTCCCTGCTTCCGCTCTTGCTGCCGGACCATTCGGGATGCCGTTTCCTGGCTTGCCCGAGTGCGCGTGCGGACTGCCTCTGCCGCGCTGCGACGTAACAAATGTGATGAGGAAACCATGGCTTAATTAACATAACAAATTGGACTGCGCCCAGACAGAAAACATGACATTGACCCTGACTTCAGATGGAGGTGTGATCAGGTTTCGGAAATAGGTAATGACATGTTCGGTATGGTTTCGCACCCGCAAAGCTCTTCCAACCTCTTGCCAACACATGTCGCGCCTGTCTGCATTGGGCGTATGCTGAGCCGGATAAAAAAAAACACAGAGTCTGGTATTTTTTGCAGAGTCTGTGTGCACATCTGGGACATGCTCTTATCACGGGTCTTGTACTTCATGGTGAGCGGCAACAGTTGTGGATCCTTTGCCCATCCCCCGCATGATCACTGTCACACACTCCGTGCCCCGACATTGCTGCTGACCAGCTGGAGATCTACAGTCACCTCCCAATACGTCGACCGACTGCAACGCACTGGCCCCGTTATCGAAGCTTTCACATCATGGCCGAAGAGCGCTCGCCGTTCTTCTCGGGCGCCCCATCTGCACTTAAAGCCGATAACTAACATCGGTCTGCAGCACGACCTGCTGCACGTGCGAAGTCGAAGGCGTCGAGATCGGAGACGGGTGCGCGCTGACGAAGGCGGGCCAGGACTACGACGCCAGGTAAAATGACATGACCACTTAGAAGAGAGGCGGGCGGAGGCGAACCTCACGCAACACATTCGCGTTTTCGGGGCCATCGTCTTGGATGGTATGCAGAACTTCCTCGAATACCCCCAGATATCGTTCAAGAAGGCGTGGAAGGAGTTTGCGTGATCAAATCCTTGACGAAGATTGGTGATGTGGTGCTCTACTCTCGGTGGCGGCAGAACAAAGCGCAAGAGCAAGAGAAATCCAAATGGCATACGATCATGGAGTTCGACTGGAACTACGTGTTCGCCCGTCAGCTCTAACACTTGGCGGCGGCCTTCTTGAGGAAAGTGCGCGCGCTGAGGCGCATTGCCCCCGCACCCACAGGCAGGCTTGATAGGCTCAAGTAGAAGTGCTGCCATCGCGGTCTGCAGCCGCAGAAACGAAGCGGCGCCCACTCCGCCTGTGCTTGTACGGTAGAAGCACAGGCGGAGAAGTTCTACCCTTCCTCCTTCACATTCTCTTGCAGAAAACAACAGCTGCGGCCATGGTCAAAGTAGTAACGTAAATGATCGTAATCGGGACTTCGACAACAAAATGAACGGTTCAGAAATTTAGCGCGGCACGGGCAACATCGCGCAGGCCCCTCCAGCTCCACTGTGCTCCTCCCGCGCTTTCAGCGGAGCAAGAGCCAGGCCCGACTCCCAAGGGAAGCCCGAACGGAGAAGTGAAGTATCGGTGAACGTGCGTAAATCAAGACCCGTTCACGGAGTCACCTCCCCTGGAGAATAGGCGCACGGTCAGCGGTTCACGAATCGGCCTACAGACACTGTGTACACCAACATATCTGCTCGCTTCCCTGGTTGCCTCCTTCCCTTGTTGCTTCCACGCCCATGGCAACTTGCTCGCAAGTCCGGCGCAGACGCGTGTGCTTGGCTGTCTGGCGCAACGGGGCGACTGCAACCTTTGCTGATGAACCCCGTCACTCGAGAATCGCCCGATGCTTCGTCGCCATGCGTATGTTTTTGACGCCTCAGCACTGGTGGTCCGGTTCCTCGTCCTCTTCCTCCTCCCCCTCCTACCTCGCCTCCTCCCTCTCCCTCTCCATCTTCTCTTCCTACTGCTGATACTCCTTCTCCTCCCTCCCCCCCCATCCCTCCTTGAAGGGGCCCTGGGACACACAAATAAATACTCACAAATAACAGGATTCCCCATATTCTCCTATACTTTCTGGGTTTTTGTCTTCCCCCCCCACTTCCCATATCTTCCCATATTATCCTGGATATCGACGATTAATTGTGTATGTGCGTTTTTTCCCCTCCTGAATCCTCCCCCCCCCCTATACCTTCCCACTCCCCGCCTCCTCACCGCTCCACGTCGAGGCCCTCCCCAAAGAGGCCACACCCGACGTGGTCGCCAGGAGTCCGTCCGCGCGCAGGCCGCTTGTCAGGCAGCACGCGTGCGCAGAAGGAAGCGAGGGAGGCAGGGCGAGGAAGGGGAGCCCCTCGTCTCTATCTTCCTCTCTCTCTCTCTCCTGTTGTTTCGGCTGCTGCTGCTGCTGCTCCTCCTCCTTCTCCTCCTCCTCCTCCTCCTCCTCCTCCCACGAACGAGAAGGTTGAGGTTCTCTAAGGCGGCATGCGGTGCGAAAAATGGATCGGCGCCTCGATTCTGGAACCGCTAGGGCGCGTGCGCCGCCGCAGGCATCCGGAATCGTGCGCGCACGGTGGCGCGCAGGGTTGATTCGCCACTTCCCGAGACGAAGGGGAACGAAGCAAGGAGGATGGGGATGAGGATGAGCTCGCATGTGGCTGCTCCTGCACGCGCCACCTCACAGGCCTTTGTTGGCGAACACTTTTGTCACTGGCTGACCCTTTGAGTCCTTCAGGTTGTGGAACTCTGGCTCCAAGCTCTTCGGATCGATCTCCATAGTCTGAGGCAGCAGGGCCAAAGCAATCGGGAGCATGCCGCCGAGGCAGGCCGTGATCAGCACGAGCTCGGATGCGGCCCCGAGGACGCCCACCTTCAGAGCAGCAGGCAAGGCCTTCATGGCCAGTACTGGCAGCACCATGGGTGCGATCGGCAAGAAACAGGAGCGCGACACGACCGTCTGAAGCACGCTTTGCTGCCCAGCCTTTTTCGACAATCCCAGGTCCTTGCCCTCTGTGTCGACAACCGAGACGCCTTTACCGTTCCACTCCTCGAAGCGGGTAAAGGACACGTTCGCGCTGCCCGCTGAGATCACTGCCAAGTAGGGCACAAATGGGCCCGCCGCCTCAAGGGCAGGCACGGCTGCGATCAATTTTTTGGCACCCATGGCAATGGAGCACGACGCTGTAACTGCTAACGCATACGAACCAAGCAACGCGCTCCAGTCGACAGTAGCACCAGACCGGTTGACATAATTGTTCATCACGTTGTACGTCTGGTTGAGCCACTGTGTGAAGACGACCTGGCTGGGCGTTGAGGCCATCAACATGAGGGCGCACAATGGCACGTTCATGGGAATGAACGCCGACATCCGCCCCAACGGGAAGAGGACCTCCCCAGTGACGGGATGGATGCTCACCTCGACATTCTTCCGGTGAGCCCACATATCAGCATCCGAGAGACCGGCGGGCTTCGTGAGATCCTTCTTGAACGCCTCAATGATGTCTTGAGACTTCTGGAGGTCCGCTCTTGACAGGAAGAGCGGCTTCGGGTCGATGACGTCGAGCATGGCCATGAGGCGGCCGTAGAACGTCGACTGGTCAAACTTCGGCTGGCTCATCGTGAACGGCGGCACGCCCCCGGACGCGCTCTCAGCCAGCACCGTGTCCCTGCCGGGATGGGACAGGAGCACCCCAGCAGCACCTGCCGCGGCCGCAGCCCTGCATGCCAATTGCCAATTTTTCTGCGCACCCCCATCCGCCCGGGCAGACGGGACGACGAGCCCGACGCCAGGTCGCCCCGCCGTTCCAACTCGCCTGGCACCAACCGCACCGCCCCTGTACGCGGCAGCCCTGAAAGCCATCATGATGCTAGCCTTCTGGGAGGTCTGGGTGTCACAACCTGGGCAAGTGACTCAAAGCAGAATGCCCTGATCCAAAATGGCTATTAAACGCGACGGCGTGGAATAGGATGACAAACGAGCAAGGGGGAGGAAGAGGACGACGGCGACGACTGCAAGGAACAAGCGGAGGATAAGGAGGAAAATGGATGAGGATGAAGAGACGGAGGATGGTGGATAAGAGAGGAGTATGCGTGAACAGAGAGGAAGAAGGAGCAGGGAAAGAGAAAGAGGGAATGGATGGGATGTCCGAGACCTCGAATGGGCAAAGCAACCTGACAGAGCCATGTGCCCGACCTACCAAGACAGTGAAGCCACGTGAAGGGGAACGTGCGTATGTTATGGAAAGCATGCTCAATGCTCCTCTTTCTGGCTTGATCGCCACTGACGGTTGCTGCCTACTGCTGGTTGAAAGCGATTGCTGCTGATGGCCAAGAAGGATTGCCCCAAGAGACTTCCAAGAGGCGTCCTCCTCCTTCTGCTCCTCCTTCTTCTACTCCTCCTCATACTACCTATTCCAGCTTGTCCTCATTCTCCTCTTCCTCATGTGTTCCCCGAAGGGTTTCAACAGCAGCTGGGGGAACGCGTGGTCCGAGAGCTCTAGCACAACTTTCAGCCACGTAGGCGCTTCCAACAAGGCATGGGACGGCGATGATTCGCCGTAGGTGTCTTCGATAAAAATGATGCCCATCGGTCGGGAGAGCGGACGGGTTCGATCCGCGGGTTCGGGCTCAAGGCCAGGGCAGCCTCCCGTGGAGGGGAATCTCCTTAGGGAGGGAGCGGCGGATTGGGGCTGCTCTCCATTAGATGATGCCCGCGCCAGGCGTGCTGGCCAACCTCTCTGCGATCCCATCGTTATCGTGCGTTCATCCACTCAGTCTTGCAGATTTTCGACTATTTTGCATCGCCTGGCGTGCCATATCCAGGCGATAACACGTGTTGCTGGTTGTGCATTGCTGGCAAAGATACGGACCCGTAGAATGACTTCTCCAACTCGTCGGGCGACCCGAACCTTTGGTCTCGCCGCAACAAGGACCACGTGAATGATCACCCTTTGTTCAAGGCATGGGGAGTGACCCTGCAAGCCCTAACACTTGACGTCCTGCAGACTGTAGACTTGGGCGTTGCAGGTCACGCCGTGCCTTAACCTCCTTTACGACTTGATTGACGAGGAGGAGCGCAGTCGCATGGCTGACCGTGATCCAACTGGCGATCCCATTGTAGCCGGCCTGCAGAGCAACCATTCCGGGGCACCCGGATTTCTCGAGCGATCAGTCGGGCCTGCTGGTCCCACGTCGGCGAGAGCGACGGCGTCGAAGGCGAAGATTTGTGGTCCAGCGGTGGCGGACTGGCGCCGGATCTCGGCGACGCTGGCGGCCGTGCCTTCTGGGCTGCTCGGGGTTGGTGAACCACTGGCGTGACTCGACGAACTTCTCGGTTGTGGTGTCCAGACGGCGAGATGGGATGACTTCCACGTGACGATTGGACTCGGCGAGGGTGCGGGCGATGTTTTCGTGGTCGATCAGCATGGCGGAGTCGACGGGGCCCGATAATTGTTGGAAGACGCTGTCTGCGACGCCATAGAATCCAGCATGCCCACCACCCGGCGGAGGATGAGGAGACTGGCCTCCAGCTGTATCTGCGGTCGGTCGGGCGACTCCTACAGCAAGGCGAAAACCATCAGGTGGCTGCGGTGGTGCGGCTGCTGCGCCGGCGCCAGCAGCATGGGGGAGGCCCTCTCCGTTGCTAGTCTCCTTTTGGTGAAAGCGTGGGTGGGCTCCGTCCTTGACCGATCATGGCGGCGAAGCCCTTGAGGGCAGGCTCGTCCGCGGCAGCCTGGGCTAAGGCTGGGGGGACGCACGGGCTCGTGGCTCCACCAGGGTGCACATCAGGTCCGAGTGGCGCAGCACCTCCAGCAGCGGGAGCACGTGGACCGACCGCCCCACGACGGTCCCGACCTCGGTCGCGTTCACGTTCGCGGCCTCCGTCTCGACGGACCCCCCACTGCGATGCGCGGAGCGACCAGAGGGCCCAGCACGCTGGCCTCGGTGTTCCCCGTCGGCCAGGGCGGCCTTATGAGCGTCCACAGCCCTGCGGGTGATCATAGTTTTGCTGCGGGGATGACGTTGTGGGTGAGGATTGTCATGACAGTTGGGTGGCCGTTACTTTGATCCTGGAGCTCATCACTGCGATGGTGGAATCTACACCAGCTTGTTCAGTCTTGGCTTCCGCTGCCATGTCAGCGTTCTGCGGGGCGGCCGCGGCCATGTAGCTGGAGTGCCAGGCGCGAGAGAAGGCACCACGCAAGCCGATACAATAAAGGCCCAGAAGAGGTCAGCTTCTGGAAGCGGGCGGCGGCTAGCACCAAGAGTGTCGTAAGAGATGAACATGGTTGGGATCGTTCCGCGGACCAGCGATCTCCATTTCACCGCCCGAGGGACAAGAACACGTCTTGAGGCAGATCTGCCATGGTGGGAGGGAGGAGGATGAGGAGGAACAGGAGGAGAGGGAGGAGGAGGCTGTAGAAGGACCGTGGGGTGAAGGGGGCAGCATGGAACATGATGGCCAGGGGGAGGAGGAAGACCAGAACAACCCCAGGAAACATCAACGATGATGCAGCACATACGACCTCCCGTCCCACGTCCCTCCTCGCAAGTCCCTGCAAACATTCTGTTTCACTGCGGGAAGCGCCCCCCTGAAAACCGAACACCTCATGGGCCTGTCAATCAAACGAACTTCCCCTTCCAAAACATGGTCCGTCTTCCATCCGTCTAAAAATACGTCGTGTAACCGAAAAAAGACAAACGCGACATAGATGTCTAAACATACTCCCCATGCTTGAAGGGAGACGCCTTTCATCCGTGTTATCTTTACATGAACTCGAATATCTGGTCAGATAACAACATGGAAATTCAAGAAATAGTCGGGTATGAGAAGTGAGCCGGCGTCCATCAGCGCAGCTGTTGCGTACATGCTGGGTTTCGGGACATAACATCCACAAGTATCTCAAGAGAGCGCCACATTTGGAAACAAGCACCGAGCTTCATCCGTACACTTGTTGGAAACTTGTTGCTGGTGTGTTTTGTTGATCCCGCCAGCCCTTTAGGGCGTAGGTGGTCTAGGGTGTTTTGTCTTGCATCTGCCCCTCTTCCCCTTCGGGGAGGGGTTTATCACTGCTCCTTATTAATATACACCCCCTCCCCCGCCCGGCTGGCGGCCAACCAGGAACCATGCCGACTCCATGCGGGCCCGCACCCCACCGTCCCGCTCAAAAATCAATACAAACGGCACTCTGCCTCCACATTTGGAGCATGCGCGGCCAACCCGATGCGCCCCCCCTCCCCCCCCACCCACCATCCCTGTCAAAAAAACAATGCAACATCCACTTTTGGGCAGAAGTCTTGAGTCATGTTCGTCAGGCCTGCGAGCATTTCGTACTGTTCTTGACAGGGGCGGCGGGGGAGCCAGCATATTCGCTGCTGTGCGCACGGCTACCATCCCTGACAAAATAATCCAACATGCACCTCGCGGCAAAATCTGGATCATGCGCGGCCATTCCGTGATCATTGTCAAATGGTTTTGACAGGGACGGCGGGGGTGGTGGCGCGTGGCCTGCTGTGAGCAGGCCTACCAGACACCATGATGGGCATTGGTTTTCGAGAAGGATGGCGGGGGCCGACATGTTTCCCGATGTGTGCTGTCACTTGCGCAGGCGCGCTTGACGCACTCTGCACGTGCCCCGAACATGGCGCACCTGGCGCGGCTGGGGTGTGCGGCACACCTGGCGTATTCGGAGCTCGTGGCGCATCTGGCGCACCAGGCGTGCCTGGCATGCTCGGGCCCCAGGCGTCCCTGGCGCGCGTGGCGCCCCTGGCACGCGTGGCGCACCTCGCCCAAGCGTCGCGCACCTGGGGTCGGCTTTGGTTCCCAGTAGCTGTCCATCCAAAGACGACCGCTGAAGATGCTCAAGCTCGGGTGTTACGTATTTGTTGGGAGGGCGGGTGGCAGTGAGCTAGACGGCTTGCGGGCGGGTGGGTAGCTTGACTCCTGACCCATACCCCCTCCCCTGGACCTGGACGGGGCCGGTCGCGAGGTGTCAGGGTGTCCAAAACGGCCTCGACGAGGAAACCAAAATCATTGCTTGTTTTCCAAGGTTTTGGCCCCATGATTGCCTCTTGGGGGGCAAACCGATTAACTTAAGCTCCCCTTTTGTCTGATCGATGTCCTCCAAGATGGCCCCAAAAGTGCTCCCAAGGCTCCCAAGAGCGCTTCAAGAGGGCCCCAAGAGGCGTCCAGGAGGCCCCAGGAAGCCCCAAGAGGCCCCCCACAGGCCTCCAAGACACTCCCAAGAGACCCCCAAGAGGCCCCAAGAAGCTCCCCGAGGCACCCAAGACGCTCCAAGAGGCCTCCGGCACCGCCAAGGGGCTCCCAAACCACTCCAAGAGGCCTCCGCTGGGGGACCCTTCCTCTGCGTGCTGCCACTTCCCTGATCGAGGCAACTCCTCAAGGCATCGTTTCTGGATGGGCTGGTGGGGTTACATTTTTGATCGCGAGCGCGCCGGAAGACGCTGGGCGCCGTCAGGACGAAACGTCAATGCAACGGCCCAAATTACGCATCAAGCGCACGATGTTGGGGTTATTTTTTTTAGTCAGCGGCCGCGGGCGAGCGCGCTGGCGGCGCGTCAGGTAAAAGCGGGCTACGCAGAGACTAAGTAGGCAAAGGGAGCGCGGGAAAAACAAACAGAGCAACGCGCGATGCGACGGTTAAGTGCGGCCGAGGCCTCAGGTGGGTGGCTGAAGGGAGACTGAGGGGAACTGCCAGCGTGCAAAGCTGCAAGTCCGTCGGAGGCGCCAAACGTCGGAAAGTCAACGGCGGCCAGGGACAACTCCGAGAGAGAGAGAGAGAGAGAAAACGTGATACCGTACCTCAGACGACTGCGTAGACACCAGGGTGGCCGTGGCCAACGAAACGCCGGTCGAGGTAGGAAAGAGAAATGCAAAGGCGAGGCCCTGGACTACGCGAAGCGCGAGGCCAGGGTGGTCCAA